ACCCGTCATGCATGACTGTGCCTATATTATTGCCAGTGGCTCCAAATAGCTTCAGCCAGTTCCTTCATTTCATGGCACTGAATTCTGTCAGGTCCTGCCGATGCAAATTCATTCAGATGTTATCAAAAATTATTTAATGAACTCTCTTTGTGATCCACATCCCTTCTTTGCTTACATTTTGTTAGTTGCCTGATCACAAACTATTGTGTGCAAGGACTGATACACAAAGTAGTTATGGAGTAGCTTTGCTTTCCCTTAGTCTTCTACTAACAGCTCATCATCATCATCGAGTAGGGGTCCCACAACTTTCCTGGTCTTTCTTTCCTATGTAGAACCTCTTTGTATTCTCTTTAACATCCCTTGCCAAATTGCATCTCATTTTTTGCCTTTGCTTTCCTGATTTTGGCTCTGTAAGTGTTTGCTACTCCTTGGTATATGGCCTTCCTTCCATGTCCTAGGTGTTTCTCTCTTGATTTTGCAGGAGCTAAGAAGTTTCTTGTGTTACCACACTGATCTATTGGGGTTCTTCTTACCTTCCTACTGTGTGAGAAAAGCTTCTTGCTGTGTCTTCCATACTACATCTTTTAGGAACCACTAGCCCTTCTGGATCCCGTAACCCTTCAATCTGTCCATCCATGGGACTTTACCAACTATTTTTTCTGAGTTAGGATACTGCACTTGAAATATGCAGACTTCAACTTTCTTGCTAACCTCATGCTTTCTTTTTTCTTAGAATCCTAAATATTATGCCATCATGATCACTCTCCCCCTGACCCCCCAAGTCTCCTATCACCATTACACTTGCAACCAATTCTACTAAATGAATCAGAATGCTCTTCCCACTTCAAGTCAGCTGGAGATGCACCAGACTTCCTGGAGTCTCTGGATACCTCTGGGAAGACTAAGTGCTATTTCTTGAGTTTCTTTAGGCCGTTCTAAGCACCAACACTCATGGACATCAAAATAGATTCACATAAACAGCGCCAGATAACTAGACAGACTTCAATATTGTTGTGCCATGGCTGAAAGTTTTTAAACCTACTGAATATCTGACCTGATGCCACACCTAAAATACATGAAGATAAACGAGTACCAGCATATCAAATAAAGAAGTTGCCTGATAACCAAACAAGTAGTAATCCAAGAGATTTACAAAAGTTATTGAAGAGCCTAACAAACTTTGGTGCAAGAGCACTTAAACCGTTAACAGCCTTGTGGAAACCTATTACACAATAACGGGTGACTAAGCACATCTAAAACACATCTGAGTGATCATTGATACTTGAGGGGTAAACTTCAACCAAGACTGAGCATAGACCAGTACTAAAGAACTGAGGCAAGCACTAAGAAGTCAACACTAGAGCACTGTATATAAGCACCAACACAACAAAGGCAAAAAATGTAACCACATTTGATCTGACAGGAAGGGGAGAGTTGGTAAGTCATAGTCTACTGTTAGAATCAGAAAATCCTGTTCATTTTCAGCCTTGGTCTCCTAACAAGGAGGCAAAAGTCAACCAAAATCAAGACTGAACCAACTAGCAGCCTAGCACTAAACCAAACCTCATCAGTGAGAGCAGTACCTTTACAGCATTAAGTGCTTTCTCAAATTCCTGGATACCTAAGTTAGACAAACAGCTCTAAAGAAGAGCCTCAGATGTTCTCCAGCTATAACAGATATTGCCAAAAACACAGATTAATATAAATCGCCTTAAACTGTGCCTTTCAGATGCTCTTCTCCAATACTGCAAAAAATGTTCTAGAATATCAAAATTAGTGCAAACTAATTAAAACTGTCTTGAAGTTCAGAGTCTGTAACACTTAAGATACACAGCACAGCAGACCAAATGAATACCAAATTCAAAACCCAAAAAGCCTAGTTACAAGTATACACAAGCCCAAAAGTTTTCCTTTCTCTGTTGTTGGGCATATACCATTGCCTATTTTCTGCCTTCATAAACACAGAACTTTGGACAGACTTCTCTAACAATCATTAAAATATTCATAAGAAGCATGCTCTTCTGAACAAAAACCCTTCTGATGGATTAGAATAACCCGTCCTTTGAAGTACGTGCACACACATGCGGACACTCAGCACCACTGCCAGCCTGCATGCCTTTCCTTAGGTGGGATGACTGTATTGTACCCAGAAACCCATATACCTCCCCCCACTACAGCTTTTTAGGAATTCGTAAATATCCTTAATGCAAGCAGATTATTATTATTTTCTGATCAACCTACAGCTGCCAATGCCTGAGAATACTGAGGGAACTGTGAAGTTTCAGCTGTGGACTAAAATATTTTTGCCACCATTTATATAAGCGACCCCAGTTAGGGAACAAAGGGGCGTGTATAGATTATGTCCGGCCTCTAAATCAAGGATTACATATAATGAGACTTACATGCCGTCTTTCATGACTGGTATGGTATTTTAATTAGGATACAAGTAACTATCACATGCAAAGCCACGATTAATGCCATTACATCCTATATCAAGCATTGCTGGCCTACATACCTGCCCTGATCTGGCTAACTTGTTTCTTCAGCCAGAAACGAGCTGTCCTCTGACCTTGGGCTGGCCAGCAACCAAAGGGTCGGCTGCATAATTCAAAGCGGTTTCAAGGCTGAACTGCATTACCTTAGTCCCAGAACAGCCATCCCAACAGCCAGATGCATAACTGCAATCTCCCCCATGCTTATCACTATCACCCACAGTACAACTTAAAATGCCCCACATCCTCTTCCCTACCATACATCCACTCT